CGTTGTTGTTGTTTTAGTGGTTGCTCTGCTACATCTGGCGCTGTTCATTTGTTTGAGCTGTTCGGAGCTATATCATTTGTTGTTGCCCTGTTTTGTATGCTCGTGTTGTAACATAATAACATATCCAAATCGCATAACATTGGGGATGATCTTGTCCCAGATTGCTGAGAGACGCAACTACTAGGTTGTGGCGTTTTTGTTCCCCACTATCCTTTTGAAAATGAGTCGGATTGGAGTGAGGCTTGCTGACACTTGGCGTAAATGTTCAGACATTCTTCCCACTCAGTTGACCAAGCCGTGTTCGAGTGGGGACATCTTTTGACTAATGCTCATGAGATACGCCTTTGTGACTGACGTCTTGCACTTGGGTTGTGTGAAAGTTTGAAACCTTTGCAAGAATGATCTAGATTTTGAACATTGAGGTGAAAAAAGGGCATGTTTTTCCAATGTCCCTTGAATGCTGCCACTTGTTTAGTTTTAAAAAAGTTTGCATTTATTTTGGTGATTCCTTTTTGGGAGACTTTTCAAAGCTCTTTTTATTTTTTTCCCTCACGTTTTGCTCATTTTCTTTTCCTGCCCTTTCCCTTTATACTCAGTTGTAAAACTGGAGGTGTCTTGTTCAGGAAAATTCTTACCCCGTTTTCATTGGTTTCTTCTCACGCTTCGACAATAAAGCTCTTCTTTCCTTTTGATTTCTTGTTTGCCTCTCCATTCTCTCTGTTCTGCTCTATTTTGTAGAGAAATTTAGGCTAGTTTGAGTAAGGTTTCATGGGGCTTTTTGGTAAGAAGACTCGTTTTTTGTTTTTTATCCCTGAGTTTTTCGGATTTACTGAGTTCTGGAGAAGAGATCGATAGGTTGGGTTTTTTGCTCTAGTCTTTCGAAGTTTGAAAACAGTTTTTATTTGGGGGTTTCTATTGACTTTGATAGTGTAATCAAATGAGGATTTTTGGAATTTTGGAGTTGAGGGCAAGTCCAATACACTTAGCCTGGCTACTCAGTTTTACTAGGGCGACTGAATGGACTGCGAGGTTTTCTTATGCGAGCCATAAACTGACTGTTGTCATTATTGATTGAGAATTGGAGAGAGATGGTGCGAATGAGATCGTAGGTGGGAATGCAAGGGAGTTGACTAAAAACTGAGGGAAGAGAGTACGTGAAGGCGATGTCACTTGATTTTACAGTAGTCTAAGGATGGGTATATCAAGGCTATCTAGATTTCTGTCCATTCGCCTTGTGGAAAATTTGGTAGTGGGGGAATCTTTGGGATGATTTGTGTGGTCTAAGGAGTTGTTAGACTTCGTGGCTTCCCAAGGAGGTTTTTGATCGATACTTCGTGTTCAGTTTTTGGCGGATTTTGAGAAGAGAGGGAGGAGTAATGGTTTCGACGAATTCCCAGTGAGACTTTGAAATTCCTAGGTGGGTCGGCGATTTCTAATTTATTATTATATTTTTTTAGAGGTGGTTTTGTGTCTGTTTGGTGTGGTTTTTGGTGTGACGAAGCTAAACATGTTTTTGTGGTTCTTCCCATTTCTCTGGTAGGTTTCTTTTCATGTTTCGCGGATGACTTTAGGTTGTTTGAGAAGATTCGACTGTATTTTAGATTAAACTGGTGATTGGGAAGTTTTTGGGCGATTTTAAAGAGAATAGGTAGCGAGTTTTGGGTTTCAAAGTGTGGCAAATCTCGTGAGTGAATTGGTTTGGGATTAAGGTTGGGTTGAGTTTTAGTTACCTCCCAAAAAGAATTAAACATATACAAAAGTAAGCAGATTCCAACTAATGCATAAACAAATTATAACACAGGAGATTTGTTTGGTGCTTCTACTTATCACATATTCTGCTTAATAACATAAATTAATAGTAAATGATTCTAAATACTTTCATATGATTTAAAATGAAGAAAGAAATGAAAACTTTTTCCTATCGGATGAGATTTTCGGGTAATGATGCCATTGGGGTTTCGTGTCTCCTCTCATGTTACAAGTCTCATTGGTAAATGATTGTCAGGCCCTACAGTGGACGCTAAACTGTAGATGCAAAAATATACCGTCATAAATAGGGTATGATCCCGTGAGTTATGAGCATTGACAATTCGCTAGTACCTTGCACACATGGAAAGGGCAAGCGTGAAGCTTCCAGAAAACAATCGGTGATGGTTTTCCGTAGGCACTACTCGCGACGCTCAAGTCACAAGGCTGAAAGAGATTATTTGATAAGAATAAGAGAAAAATTACCAGATCATGTCGGCGGCTAGATAACGGCAAGACGTCGGGTTCTTGGAGCAAGAACTTTAGGACAAATAGATGGTTTGGAATAGTGTAGATTAACCTGTGAGAGATTGCATGTCTAATGATATGGCAAGCCTCTGTTTTTATATGCACCCAGGGGCTAACAATCCTTGTAGGACATTGAGTCCTTTTTTTTCGGAGATAATCCCTATCAAGAAATCATATGATTTCTTGCCTTATCATTAGTTTAATATTTTAAGTAAGATTTGAAATTTTAGTAGAAAAGAAATCAGATGAGATTCTGATTTCCTATTTATAGACTGTTGTAGGCTAATAGGTTTAAAACCAATTTAGCTTAACTTATTAGTGATAACCGATTCATACAATGGTAGGTCGCAAGGTGATTTTAGCGCGTAGCCCACTCAATTGGGTTGAGTCCTTAGGTTATGACATGTTTATTTCGTTATTAGGCCTCACCAAGCTTAAGATTTTTTGACCCTAACAGTAAGTTAAGGGCTAAAGTAAAGAAAATAGGTTCCCGCGAGGATGTAGTGTGTAAGTCAATGAGAGTTTTAGGTTTTAGGCTAATGCTTGTATCAGTTATATATATCTATTTTTCTTAATATTCTCTTTCTTAGAGGAGACTTGTTTTGCTAAACACATTAATTTAATTAGATAAGTATACTATAATAACTATTTCTCATTTCATCACTTATCTCAACTATTATGTAATTTCCGTTTATAGAATTCATTTTTTTTTTTGAAGAGAAGACACCTTAAGAAATTTTAATGTAAAATAATGAGTATAAAATTTTATACCATAACACAATAATTAAAATTAGTATAGAAAGTAATGTTTATTTTCTTAAAATTGCTTGAATATTTTTTATAGTAATCATTACACTTTTGTGGGATCATTAATCTGTCTATTCAAAGTTTTCAAAAATTATTAAAAACCCCTTTATAATTGGAATAATTTAAAGTTTCCAAAGATTTTAAAAATTTAAAAGGGTATTTATAATTATGAAGGATTTTTTTTTTTTTTTTTTTTTATGATTTTCGAAAATTTAGGATAATATATTAACATCCATATGTGAAATAATTAATAAACCCCAAATAAGAATAAACGTAATTAATTCGATATTCCAGCTTAGTTTCTTTCTTTTCCAATACTTAAAGCAGACACATGTCTGCATGGTCTTCCTCCGATTACACTCGTGTGGGCTTTTCTCGCCGCCGGTAAGCCCCTCCAATCTCTTACGCTCTTTTCCAGTACTCAATTGCTCTCTTTACATAATTTTTACAGTATTTTCTATGATGTAGTCGTTGTTATATATATAATATAATATATTAGTTATATCTAGCCATATATGTTCTGGGTCACTCATTTCTTACAGAAAATAATATTATTGTTTACAGTTAATGTGCCCATTGAGAGGTGTTCGATGAAATGCGTCAAGATGTTTTTTTTATTCACATATGAAATGAAATTTAAGGCAGAAATGAAGGGTTTTATATGGGCTCGGCAGAAGACATGGCAAAACCGTGGGCGTGTTCTGTCCTTGTATCGGGAGTACTGCGAAGCCTCAACTCTCCCCAAATTGGAACTGAGTTTAGCACAAGGCTTTCGAAGAAGCGAGGCTCGTGCCATTTTCATGTTGGGGTCTGAAGAGCGATCCATTCACAACATTGAAGACCTCATTGACACTGCTGAGTACGCGCTTTCTCACTTGAAAGAGGTTAAAATCCCCAAACATATTCAATGAATAACTTCTTAATTCTTTTGTATTCATAATGTACTGACTGTCTTGTATGAAATAATGAATCTAAATCTGTCAGCGCTATATCACTTGAATTCTAGCTGCCCGAGTTTATTCAAAACTTCTGATTGTAGATAATTATTACTTCAGGATTTTAGATATTGACTTGATACAAGTTGATAGAGTACTTCTGATACTATATATATATATATATATATTTTAATTACTTCCTTTGGAATTAATTATCAGTAGTGATTATTTTATCATCTTGATTGCACAAGTTTTAAATGAAATAGTTGCAATTCTTATCACATCATTAGACATAGTACATCCTTTCACAAGGTTCCTACTTTAACGAAATCCTCAAGTAAAATTGTAACCATGTGTTGAAAAAAGTAGAAGGAAAATTTTAAATTTATTCAAGTTGTTAGATACAACATTACTTAATGCTATATGTTCGACTACAAACGAGGAATCCAGAAATTTGGCAATCCTTTATCACACTCATCTTCACACCTTACACGGTCACCCAATGGCAAGTTCCTGCATTAAGATAAAGCGGCTGAGTTATATATATATATAAAATAATTATATTATTTCAGAAAACATTGATCCATAACATTTGCACAAATTTCAAATGGATGTTAATTAATGGAGATCCTAAATCTGGAGGAAAAAAGTGGATGTATAATTTAATCGAACTAACCTTGTCAAGAGAATCACTTTTGCTTAGTCTTTCTATTGCATCTTCGAATAAGTCCATCAATCATCCGTAGAAACCATCGTGGTTTTACTGTTGAGAAAACTATATATCCTATAGATAAGCCGAGTGATAGTCCGCTTCCATAACCCATTATAATGACTTTCCAATCTAACCAGGTTAAATGTTGTGTTCTTCATCATGGTCTATTGATGATTCTGGTTGTGGTGCCTCATCAATATCACATTGTTCGACAACATAAATCCACAAAGTCCTAAGTTTCCACTGTACGAGTCATTTTGGAAGGTCTCGAACTAGTTCCACGGGGGAATCGGCCCCACAAAATGGTTTTGTGATAAGTTTAACTTTGCAAGAAAGGTCAAACCTACCAATTGCGATGGAATCACTCCAACAAGCTTGTTTGAAGATAGGTCTAAAGCTTCAAGTGCAATCAAATTTACTAAAGACAAAGGAATATGACTGGTTAGGCTATTTTGAGAGAGATTGAGGAGTCGAAGTGAATGAAGTTTTCCAATTGAGTTTGGAATTTCTCCGTGAAAACAATTGTTTGAAAAATCAATGGTAGTAAAAGTAGTAACAATTTTCTCCAGTCTGATTTCAAAACCTTTAACTACCATCGCCACTGAATCTTGATAATATGTTTCACCCATATAATCCAACTTCCTTTTGGCTTCATCAAGATTCATCATAGCTTTTAGATTCTTAAGGAACCTTGTTGGCAAACGACCACTAAAATTGTTGTGTGAGAGATCTAAGATTCTCAGCATAGGGAAAGAACTATTAAATTTAGAAGAACCCCACTCAAAACCGTAAAACTTGTAGAAGCGAAGAACAAGAACCTGCAACTTCGGAAGTTCTCTCAATCAATATGGGAAACTATCAATTATCTTGTTGTTTCCAAGATCTAGAACTTCAAGCATGATACAATTAACCAAACTTCCTGGGATTGGCCCTTCAAGTCCATTGCCATTGAGATTGAGAGTCCTAAAATGATTGCCTTGTGCAAATATTCCAGGAATGCTGCCATACAATCTATTTTTTCGTTGATCCAACACATGAAGACTACTAAAGTTTGCCATGCATTTTGGAATTATACCACTCAAATTATTATACGAAAGATCTAGAATTGCTATGTCACTCATATTGCAAAAGCTGAGAGGTATCTCACCCGTGAAATTGTTGTTTGACAACGAAAACAATATCAAGTAAGGTGGTGGATTTGGAAGTGGTCCCTGAATCAAGTTGGAGTGAAGGTCTAGAAATTCAAGATTTTTCCATAGAAGTTGTTGTTCCATGCCTGTAAGAAAGTTATGGGAAAGATTTAACCATTATAAACTTTCCTTTCGTGTCCCACACCCCCTTGGGAATTTGACCGTGGATTTTATTGTTAGAAAGGTCTAGCTCCATAAATTGGTGTGAGCTACATAAGAAATCTGGAAATTCACTTATTTACAACCCGATAATGTCAATGTCTCAAGTTTGGTAAAGGAAGAGTTAATGTTGAATGTGGTGCTCAATGATACATTGGTATTGGAAAGATAAAGCTCTTCAAGTTTTTTGAGCTTTGAAAACAAGTAAAGCTCAGTTCCACTTAAATTGTTTAAAGAAAGAGAGAGACTAGTCAGATTCACAAGTTCAAATATTGAACCTGGAACTGACCCTTGCAATCTATTATTTTGCAAATAAATAAATTTCAATGATTTACTTTGAAATTCATCTATTGTGCCAGTTAATTGGTTATAACCGAGGCCCACATACTGTAATAAAGGTAGAGTGAATAGCCAAGATGGTAGGGACCCATTGAAAGAGTTATCATATAAATTAATTAAAACCAAAATTCCATGGGGACTTACTTGAGAAGGGATTAGACGAGCTAGTTGATTAGACGCTAAGCTTAAATGAGAAAGTTGAGTTAAGTTTAAGTTATTGCTCTCAAGATATAATGTATGGAGCTTATCAAAATTGGAAAGAAATGAAGGGATTTGACCTGCAAAATTATTAGCTGAGAGGCTCAAATAATTAAGCTTTAAATAGGAACTGACCCATTGAGACCGCAACCAAGGAAATCCAAACGCGTCAAGTGCATGAGATTACCGATGGAATTAGGTAATTCTCCAGACAAAGTCATTTCAGAGACATCTAAAAATTTGAGGGGCCTACTCCAATTAACCTTTGGCAAAATACCTGTCAAATTGAAATTTCTTCCTAAATTTAGGATTTTTAAGCTGGGTAGGTGAAAGATGTTATTTGGAAACTTCCCTTGCAATTCACAATCCCAAAGACTCAAAGAAGACAAAGAAGAAGAATCTAAGTACTTCCTTGAACCATGTTGTCATCTGTGCAAATGTATTAGTTCTTCTTCAAGACAATTTAGCCAGTTTAAAACTTGATTGGGGAAATTAGTAGTTGTTTCAAGGGAATTTTCAGAAAGATCAAGCATGACCAATTTAGATAAGTGGGTGATTTTAGATGGAATTTGACCAGAAAAGTATGAGTTGGAAAGGTTAAGATGTGTCAAACTAGTGAATTGATTAAAATCAGGAGGAATTTGAGAGAAATTGAAATCATTGTAAGCTAAGTTTAGCTTTTGCAAATGATTAAGAAGAAAAAGGCTACTATTGGAAGGGATGTTTCCTTGAAGCCAGCCACAACTAAGATCGAGACCAATCACATGACCCGTTAAAGAATCACAAGTGACACCATCCCAAGAGCAGCAATCTTTATCCTCTTTCCAAGACATTGTTTTAGGATAAGAAGGACACCTTCCATCACAATATGGTGGAGTATTAGAAGCTGAATTTTCTGCATAAAAATCACAATAAAAGGATAAACAATTCATGAAGGAAAAGAGTTGTTGAAATTGGAGCAATGCAGAACCCTGGTCATGAGAGCAGAGTGATGCAAAACTTTGAGAGCACAACTACAACAACTGAATGTATAAATTTTGATAAACCCACAATAGAAAACCCATTTTTTCCAAATGATGAAATCACGAGGACATACAAGGTTATAAATAGAAAGAAATGAAGGGTCAATTAATATTGTCTTCCTCTTCATGAATCTCCCCAACAAGCTTGTTTGAAGATAGGTCTAAAGCTTCAAGCGTAGTCAAATTTCCTAAAGACAAAGGAATATGACCGGTTAGGCTATTTTGAGAGAGATTGAGGAGTTGAAGTGAATGAAGTTTTCCAATTGAGTTTGGAATTTCTCCATGAAAGTAATTGTTTGAAAAATCAATGGTTGTAAAAGTAGTAACAATTTTTTGCAGTTGGATTTCAAAACCTTTAACTACCATCGCCAGTGAATCTTGATAATATGTTTCACCCATATAATCCAACTCACTTTTGGCTTCATCAAGATTCATCATAACTTTTAGATTCTCAAAGAACCTTGTTGGCAAACAACCACTAAAATTGTTGTGTGAGAGATCTAAGATCCTCAGCATAAGGAAAGAACTATTAAATTCAGAAGAACCCCACTCAAAATTGTAAAAGTTGTTGAAGCGAAGAACAAGAACTTGCAACTTCAGAAGATCTCCCAACCAATATGGGAAACTATCAGTTATCTTGTTGTTTCCGAGATCTAGAACCTCAAGCATGGTACAATTAACCAAACTTCGTGGGGCTGACCCTTCAAGTGCATTACCGTTGAAGTTAATAGTCCTGAAATGATTACCCCGTGCAAATATTCCAGGAATGCTGCCATACAATCTATTTTTTTTGTAGATCCAACACATGAAGACTACTAAGGTTTGCCATGCATTTCGAAATTGTACCACTCAAATTATTATAAGAAAGATCTAGAATTGCTATGGCACTCATATTGCAAAAGCTGAGAGGTATCTCTCCTATGAAATTGTTGTTTGACAAAGAAAACAAACCCAAGTAAGGTGGTGGATTTGGAAGTGGTCCTTGAATCAAGTTGGAGTGAAGGTCTAGATAAACAAGATTTTTCCATGGAAGTTGTTGTTCCATGCCTGTAAAAAAGTTGTGGGAAAGATTTAACTTGTAAAAACTTTCCTTTCCTATGTCCCCCATCCACTTGGGAATTTGACCTTGGATTTTGTTGTCAGAAAGGTCTAGCTCCGCCAATTGGTGTGAGTTACGTAAGAAATCCAGAAACTCACTTATGTTACAAGCTGATAATCTCAAGTACCAAAGTTTGGTCAAGGAAGAGTTAATGTTGAATGCGGTGCTCAATGATAGATTAATATTGGAAAGATCAAGCACTTCAAGTTTTTTGAGCTTTGAAAACAAGTAAAGCTCAATTCCACTTGAATTGCTTAAAGAAAGAAAGAGATCAGTCAGATTCACAAGTTCAAGTATTGAACCTGGAACTGACCCGTGCAACTTATTATTATCTAAGTAAAAAACTTTCAACGATATACTTTGAAATTCATCTATAGTGCCAGTTAATTGGTTATAACTGAGGTCCACATGCTGTAATAAAGGTAGAGTGAATAGCCAAGATGGTAGGGACCCATTGAAAGAGTTACTATTTAAATTAATAAGAACCAAACTTCCATGGGGACTTACTTGAGAAAGGATTGGACTAGCTAGTTGATTAGACGCGAAGCTTAAATAAGAAAGTTGAGTAAAATTGACAAAAAAATCTGGAAATCCACTGATGAAATTGTTGCCTGTAAGATCTAATGTATGGAACTGATCAAAATTGGAAAGAAATGAAGGGATTTGACCTTCAAAATTATTACCTGAGAGGTGCAAATAATTAAGTTTTGTAAGGTTTCCAAGTGAAATAGGAACCGACCCATTGAGACCGCAGTCAAGGAAATCCAAATGCATCATCTGCATGAGATTGGCGAAGGAATTAGGTAATTCTCCAGACAAAGTCATGTAAGAGACATCCAAAAACTTGAGGGGGCTACTCCAGTTAACCTTTGGCAAAATACCTGTCAAATTAGAATTACTTCCTAAATTCAGGATTTTTAAGTTGGGTAGGTGAAAGATGCTATCTGGAAAGTTCCCTTGCAAGTCACAATTCGACAGACTCAAAGAAGACAGAGAAGAAGATAGATTCATGAAGGAACTTGGTACAACAGTAGACATGTTTACATCATCAAGAAGAAGTTCTATTAAATCGGTCAAATTTTGAACTAACCCCTTTACAGTAGTTGTTTCAAGGGAATTTTCAGAAAGATCAAGCACGACCAATTTAGATAAGTGGGTGATTTCGGATGGAATTTGACTAAAAAAGTTTGAGTTGGAGAGGTTAAGGTGTGTCAAACTAGTGAATCGATTAAAATCAAAAGTAATTTGAGAGAGACTGAAATCATTGTAAGCTAAGTTCAGCTTTTGCAAATGATTGAGAAGAAAAAGGCTGCTATTAGAAGAGATGTTTCCTTGAAGCCAGCCACAACTAAGATCGAGACCAATCACATGACCTGTTGAAGAATCACAAGTGACACCATCCCAAGAGCAGCAATCTTTATCCTCTTTCCAAGACATTGTTTTAGGATAAGAAGGACACCTTCCAATTCAGTGGCGGATCCAGCCACTTTTTGGATGGGCCATGGCCCACCCTCAAATTTTTTTTTTTTTAATATTAATATGTAAATTTATATATTTTGGCCCACTCTAAAAAAAATATTAATGGACAAAAATAGTAATGTATAATAAATTTCTATTTTGGCCCACCCTAAAAGAAATTTCTGGATCCGCTACTGCCTTCCATCACAATATGGTGGAGTATCCAATTGATAAATAACTGAATGTTCTGCAAGATAATCACAATCAAAGAAAGAACGATTGAAAAAGGAAAATCGTTGCTTAAATTGGAGCAATGCAGAACTCTGGTCATGAGAGCAAAGTGATGCAGAACTTTGAGAGCACAAATACAACAGCTGAATGTATAAAATTTGATAAACCCACAATAGAAAACCCATTTTTTCCGAATGATGAAATCACGAGGACATACAAGGTTATAAATAGAAAGAAACGAAGGGTCAATTAATATTGTCTTCCTTTTCATGAATCAGTTCTGTGGTGGGGACTAATCTGTGAAACGCAGTAACCAACATGGACTGGAGTAATTACGCGGAATCTGCTTTTTTTTCATGAAAATCCACCATTACTAGTAGTTATGTCTAAAGTCTTTGTCATTTGAGACTTCTGCAAATTCCAAGTATCGTTTTCCAAGTGGTGCCAATGAAATTAATAGTGGAATTTTACTTTATTGAATAGACTGAATTGAGGTCTTGAGATATTTTTGTAGAAATTAGATTGTTAACCGTGATACTTAATATTATTATCATTATTATTATTTTACAGAAAAAACTTGTAATCTCTAATATATTGCCCAACTTTTCAATTACTTGATCTTATTAAACGAAGTCATCATCAATTAATATTCATCTGCCAGGCTTATGCAAGCCTATAACAATATGATTGTTTGAAATTTTATCCGTATTTATAACATAAAAGTTTAAATATATTGGTGAAGACATATATCTTATGCCTGCAAAGGAGAGTATAATTTGTTATTATTTAAAGATTCTGACAAAATTTGGACCTATTAAAAGGTAAATCAATAATATTCAACTTTTCCTGTACATGGTTATCAGTCTTCGTCAACAAAAACAAACTTAATGTTCACGTTCTTGACAATAATAGCTTCTTCATGCCATGAGGAGCAGGTTAGAGAACTTCTCCAATAACTTATTTGGTGGGTATCAAGTCTTGCCGCATCAACTCGAAAACAATAATGTCTATGTGATTGACACATTCTTATAGTTGGTATAAAGCTCTACGTATATAAAGAAAAGAATTCAATCTTTTAAATAAATGGATTCATCGTGAATTAATATTTATTTGCTAGGCTTATGCATGCCAACAACAATATAATTAACTATTACTTGAAAATTATAACAAAATTCAGATCTCTTAGAATGTAAATAATTAATATTCAACTTCTCCTATTATTGGTTTTAGTCTTAATAACGACAAACTTAATGTTCACGATTCTTGACAATAATTGCTTGTTATTATGTTCATGCAGTGAGGATTACGTTAGAAGACTTATCCAATAACTTATTTAGTGGGTATCAAAGTCTAAGTCTTAGTCTTTGTCTACATTATCAATATAAATGGCCATGTATTAAAATTAAATTAAAGAAAAACATTTTAAATAAAATAAAATAAAAAAATTAAGGACCAGAGTATTATAAAATAAAACTTGATATGAGAACTTTTTTTTTTTTTAGTTATGTTTTCGAAGGTAAGGGCTTTTATTTTAAATCTCTAATTTTTGTGGTGAAAATATTTTTAATTGTTTATAAATTCTATTCATTTTATTTATATTTTAATTTTACGATATTAATCTCCAAAGTACTAATTTTTTATTCTATATTAGGAAACAAATGGAGGTATAAGATATATTCCAGTTTCAAAGTATTAGCACAGTCTATAATTATTTCCTTATTACAAACCCTCTACTGTAGAGTTTGCAGATGGTATCGGATTATGAAAAATATTGAAGACGACTTGAGGTTATTATGACCAGATAAAGGGAGATAGTTAACAGAAAAGAGAAGAAAGATTCAAACTAACTACAGAGAAAATGAAATGAAAGGCTACGAAGGTTTCTGGGAAGGTGCTGAGAAATGAGAGATAAAAACAGGAGTCATGAAAAACGAGTTAAAGACTCTNTCCATGGATCGAGCAGGGTTGATCCGAAGGTGGAAATCCGTGGATCGGGCAGGGCCGATCCGAAGGTGTAGATCCGTGGATTGAGCAGGGTTAATCCAAAGGTGTAAATCTGTGGATCGAGTAAGGTCGATCCGAAGGTGTATGCCAAGTGGAGCTTGTATGGAGCTTGCAGTCAAGTCGGTGTGATCGACTTGTAGTTGAAACCTTCCAGGGCTATGTGGCCCAGTCGGCGTGACCGACTTTGTAGTAAAAAACATTCGATTGAAGCTGGAGCAATGACATGCATGCATGCATGTTTCAAGTAAATAGTCGAATTGAGAGTTAATATGCATGATGTCCATGTGTTATGGACTGAATAAAGAGTGAGTTAAATGGAAAAATGGGCTGCATGTATTTAAGTAATATGTCGAATAGAGAAAGATTTAACCAAATAGAGTGGTAGTTAAAAAGAGATAATGACACATAACTTTCCCCTTCAAGTGCTGCCACTCACGCTTGCTGGATCGAGTAGGGTAGGATAAACTGAGGTTGGAGTTTGTGGCTTTTAATGCTTCTGTGTGTGCCTCGGTAGCTGCTGCTTTGCTTGTTGGTCCAACCGTTGTTGTTGTTTTATTAGTGGTTGCTTCTGCTACATCTGGCGCTGTTGCATTTGTTTGAGCTGTTCGGAGCTATATCATTTGTTGTTGCTCCTGTTTTGTATGCTCGTGTTGTAACATAATAACATATCCAAAAATCGCATAACATATGGGGATGATCTTGTACCAGATTGCTGAGGAGACTGCAACTACTTAGGTTGTGGCGTGTTTGTTCCCCACTATCCTTTTGAAAATGAGTCGGATTGGAGGTGAGGCTTGCTGACACTTGGCGTAAATGATTCGACATTCTTCCCACTCAGTTTGACCAAGCCGTGTCGAGTGGGGACATCTTTTGACTAATGCTCATGAGAGTACGCCTTTGTGACTGACGTCTTGCACTTGGGGTTGTGTGAAAGTTTGAAACCTTTGCAAAGAGATGATCTAGATTTTGAGAACAATTGAGTGGGAAAAAAGGGTCATGTTTTCCAATGTCCCTTGAATGGCTGCCACTTGTTTAGTTTTAAAAAAGTTTGCATTTATTTTGGTGATTGCCTTTTTGGGAGACTTTTCAAAGCTCTTTTTATTTTTTTCCCTCATCGTTTTGCTCATTTTCTTTTTCCTGCACCTTTCCCTTTATACTCTAGTTGATAAAACATTGGAAGGTGTCTTTGTTCAGGAAAATTCTTACCCGTTTTTCATTGGTTTCTTCTCACGGCTTCGACAATAAAGCTCTTCTTTCCTTTTGATTTCTTGTTTGCCTCTCCATTCTCTTCTGTTCTGCTCTAGTTTGTAGAGAAATTTAGGCTAGTTTGAGTAAGGTTTCATGGGGCTTTTTGGTAAGAAGACTCGGTTTTTGGTTTTTTCCCTGAGTTTTTCGGATTTACTGAGTTCNAAGATATGTATTAAACATATTGATGAAAATTAAAACAATGAAATTAATGTTTTATTTTGAATTTAATTCTTTTTGGTTTTTCACCCAGAACCTTATAATGGTAAACATGTTGATGAAGATATATATCTTATGCCAGCAAACGAGAGTATAATTAGTTATTACTTGAAAAGTTTAACAAAATTTGGACCTATTGTAATGTAAATCGATAATATTCAGCTTCTTCTATACATAGTTATTGGTCTTCGTCAATAAAGACAGACTTAGTGTTCAAGATTCTTGAAAATAATAGCTTGTCTTATGTTCATGCCGGGTTAGAGAACCTCACTAGTACCTTATTTGGTGAGTATCTCTTGTTATGGTTCATATTAAGCTAATCTAGGTGAAGGACAACTCATAGGCGAAAGCAAAAGTACGTGCGATTTAATATTATTCCTAGCAACCATTATGGTTCATGTTGAGAAGAAAAGAAAATGTAGCAAGGCAATGAATTCACACACATTTGGTGCTCTTAACAGAAACTGATATGTAGTTTAATTAACTTGTATAGCCCTTAACTGATTTACCGAATTTAACAGAATTATCTAACTTTGCTGCTAATTGCTTCAACAGCTGACACTTGACTTCTAAGCTTGAACCTTAACACTCTCCCCCTTAAGCTAAAGTCAAGTAGATTTGAGTTTCTTGAGTATTAACATCCTCCGATGCGATAAGTTTCAAATACATTATAGTGGGATATTTACTTCATTGACTAGACTGAATTGTGAGGAGATTTTAATTCTTTTCTTTTTTTTTTTTTTTTTTTTTTTTTTTTTTTTTTAACAGAGAAGCTAATTACAATAACACCTAGCTATTAATCCTTACCTTAAATATGTATAGAATCATCATAAGCTAATATTAATTTGTGAGCCTTAGTTAATTAAGTTATTACTTGAAAATTTTACCAAAATTTAGACTGATTGCAATGTAAATCGATAATATTCAGTTGTCCTATTTTATAAAAATTTATGTTACCATTTTAAGTCAAAAAATTAAGTTGAGATACACAAATTTGAACCGTCGATTCCTATCTAATTTGATATTATTTATGTTCTACTTTACATGGTTGATTTATTAGTGTTCGTCAACAAAGAAAAAAATTAACTTAATGTTTCCATAATCTTCACAATTTTGTATTGGTTCTTTTTATATTCATGTAGTTAGTGCATATTAAGTCTTGGTTTAACAACTCTAAAACAATAAATAAGTTCAACAGTAATTTCCACTCGCACATTGTAATTGATATAAATTGTTGACTATGATACTTAATATTATTATCATTATTTTTATTTTACAGA